TGATATCTGGTGCAGTCTTCGTCTTTAAAAAGACCTGGGCTTTTGTAGTTATGATGTCCTTCTCAGCACTTCAAGCACTTGTTTCCTTCAACGTTGTACATATCCCAGAAACTTTATGTTTCAAACATCCAATGATGAGGTGGTTTTGGGAAGTGATTAAATATTTTTACATCCATGGTGAATTCTCCATACTTTCATTTGACATTAAAAAAAAAAGTGCAGGAAGGGTCTCTTCTCTCTTCCTTACTTCTTTAGTACTTGTGGTCATCAGATTTCCTCAATTTCATTTCCACTAAAGCTCTATTCCCATGGTGTGGGCTGGGAGGCACACAGCAGAACAGAAAGATGTTTTGCCCATGTTGAGCACATACAAAACTTTATTTTCATTTAGGTGATTGAGACAGAGAGACCATTAAATTCTACAGATATGGCTGTGCACATACAGGCTGCATCCTTACTCCTGCATGCAGAAGAGAGGGTGGTTTGTGGAGACATGCTCCAGTGAAAAGGCCTGCTGTGGTTTCCTTCCTTCCCCCTTCAAATTGTGAGGAGCTTGAAATCCTGTTAGGCATACAGACAAGGAGGGGTTGTATGGCACCCAAATAACATGGGTTGACCAAACTCATGTTTGCTGCTGTTCAAATGCACCTGCTTGAGCATTGCCCTGCCTCCCCAATGCACCCTGGAGCTGGAATTAGTGATACCAATGCCGCAGCAGCAATTCTCCCTGGTTGGAACCCAAATTGCAAGCTGAGACAGTCACGGAATCTTGGCATAATTTTCTCTCCAGGGTTATAAACTGCCTCAGAGAGGGGTCTCTGCTGGCAGGCAGGTCAGCAAGGCCCAGGTAGAGAGCTCAGGAAGTGATTTCTACCTCTGTGCATCCCAGGGCAGAGCCAAACTGGTCCAGTGAGGGTCTGAACAAGGTCAGTTTCTGGTTACACTTCAGGCAGTAACTGATCTTCTAAGAGCTCCACTTAGGTTACCTGTATCAAAGAAAAACTTCTGAGGATTATTAGCTTGTCCCAGTGTCTTGGCACACTGAAAGAAATGTTTTAAATAAAGTAACTCCAGAGAAGGCAGTTCTGGGCAATGTGCTGGTATTTGAGGCTCCTTAACCCAGATGTGGCATTTCTTATCATGTGGGTCAGTTATGAACTATGCACAGGTATCTCCTGCCATATGCTGTTACCATCTGTGTCTGCTTTCTCCCTGCTAGTAGCACAATTCCAAGGAAGGTTAACTCCATGATAAGCAGTCCCTACCTGAACTGTAAAACTGAGTCACCAGCACAGCCCAATGAGGACTGGAAAAGGTGGAATGTGTTACAAAGTTTAAATTTTGGTTTCAGACTTCAGGACATATTCTTGTCTAGAGAACATTTAATATTTAGCATAGGTTTAAAATCTCTCTCATCTTCTATTACCTTTCACCAGGAAATGGGTTTGCATATCAATGTTTCAACAATTCTAACAATTAATGTCCTTAAGGATTATCCAAAGATCCCAAGTGTCCTCTATACCTATCCCTACCACACTTTGCAGAAGGTGACACGATACATGCCCTACAAGAGCATGCTGTTTCTCAGAGGAGACAGTTCCTTTTGTGAGCAACAGAGGAAGGCTACAACTCTTTCCACTGAAGTCAAATGCTACAGAACTCTACTGCCTTTATGACAGCTTTGCAGGAGAAACAAGGGAAGCCTCTAGAGAAGACACAGGGATTTTCTTCATTTCTGTAGGTGCTAATTAAATATATGCCAATATATATGGTGCAGCTTGTTTTATACACCTAATATACATCTATATGCCTTCTATATGCTCATGTGTTTCAGATTAACTTAATGTTTATGGTAAATAGATCACTTCTTAAACATACAAAAAGGTAAATAATACTAAGCCAAAATAATAAAGTTCTTCCACAACAATCATAGGGCCATCATAAAAAACTCCTGCATATACATTTTTAGAACTGAAGCCTTGAGAAAATCCTACTTGTACAGCTTTCAAGACATTTCAGCTGGGCATTCTCCTCAGTCTAAAATGTTTCTAAGTGAAAGCAGGGTTTATGGCTTTCAAATTTAAGGAGACAAACCAGTATCATTAGAGATCACCATGCAGCTGAAGGTGAACCACATCATCAGACATAACTCCCCAAAAATGCTATATATGGCTGCACAAGTATTGAAGAAGCTACATCACGAGCCTGTTGGGATCCATTATTTATTCTGCATTTGCACTCAAAATACAAACACAATCACTTAAATGCTAAACACAGTAAGTTAAATCCACTGTTAATACAGACTTTGACTTTCACAGGCACAACTTGAGTGGTTTCTCTAGAATTAGGGCTATTTCTACAACAGTGAACAACCTAGGTTAAACAACCAGGCCACACCATCATGTTCTGACTACTTATGATTACTGGAGGAATTATATATGCTGCGCTTTATAAGTTCATCATCATTTATAAATTCATCAAATTTGAGATCAGGGCCTGTGCACAAAATATCTCTCTGAAGTACAAGTCCACCTCCCAGCCAGATTTGGTAAAGTACTTTGACTGCCTCTAAATTGAGCTTAACGCCAGCTCTGCATCTTCTGCACATCACTGGCAAGGTTTAATGCTGGAGGTTTTAGATGAGGAACAGAACCCAAACATGAAAATTGTCTTATCTTCAGTCATCTTTCCCACACATATACAAAGCACCTAGTTAAAGTGCCAAAGCATAAAGTGCCATATTGCCCAAATCTCTAAAAAAGTAAGTTTTGAAAAAAAATTATTAGCCATATAATTTAGATGTGTCTATATATACAGTATTTGTCTAGCAAAACCAAATCTCTGCTGGGCAATTCTTGGGCAATTTGTTCAGAAGTCACTTCTGGATAACTATATTCCTAAGTGATAGAAATCCATACCAAGCATTTACTTTGTCTCCCATTTCTTCTGCATAAACAAAACATAGGTTCCTGCACTTTGTCCTTGATACTGCTTTCCTGTTTTAACCCTCTTGGCTCCTCCTAGATTGTCCACTAACTCAGACGGAAAATGCAACAGTGGGAGAAGAGGCTCTGATATTGTGGCTTTCTTGGTTCTGATGTACTCTGGTTAAAAAACAGTTCTTCTCTCTCCATCTATAGCTATATAAAAATAATATAAATTTCAGGTTCAAATAAATACATTGGAAATTGGACATCTTTCTAGTTCTGTATTAGTCAGTAGATGAAATTTTTATTGGGAGTATCAATATACAAAAATACACTAGCAATTTTCTTATTTTAGCTCAAGTTCTTCTTTCTTCAGCTGCTCTGTGCTTCACCAACTTCTCTCTACTGAAAGCAGAAAAAGCCATTTCCCTGGATACTAAATATGGATAGATACTGTATATGTGTCAGAGCCACTAAAATGGGCATTTGGAACAATTACTTCTTCTGTGCCTGGTGTTGTACAAGCATCCTCCTCTAACTGTCCTTCTGACCCATTTCTCCAGCACTGAAGTGCCTCTGTGCAGATTTAAACTGAGCAATATTTTTCTCTATGTACATCTGCATCACAACCCCTCCATTAGTCAGTCCCAGAAGCTCTAAAAAGAGAAGACATGAATATGCAGATTCAATGCACATGTAATCTTTGTAACTGGGAAGAAAAAATAGGATACACTTCAGTTTCCTCTACAATCATGTCATCATTCATCTCACAGAGCAGCACTGCCAGAGATTTCACTGCCTCTGTACCAGTACTAGAAAGAAGAGGATTCTGGCAGCAATTCCTTGGTGTCCTTGGCAGTAGAAGATCACCTTGTGAGCTTGCAGTACTTTGGCAGACACAAGGAAGGTAGAAAAAAAATGGGAAGACTAATCGAGGGGTTTAGAGGGAAATGCAGAATACACAAAACCTAAAAAGGAGTTAACATTTTCTGCCCAAGAAGACCCCAAAGGCTGTTTCATGCACTGTCTTTAACAGTCTTAAATAGTACTAAATATCTTAAAACATGAAGCAGGTTGAAGAAGCCCCCACTATATTTGGTATTATGTTTTTTCTACCTCTCTGATTGAGCAATGAGAAAGGAAAGTCCTCACTATTCAGAGTTCAGTTACAGTGGCCAGTGTCAAAAAAAGCCAATATTACTGGGGACTTTCATCTGAATTTTTGGTTTTTTGAGAGTCCATTACCTGTCCCTGGACTGTATGCATACAATTGGCTCTAAAATATCAGGGATCCAAGATACCTTCCCAAACTCCTACACAGCTAAACTTGCCACTGTGAGCACTGGCAAAACAAGGGGATAACTACAGTGTCACCTGAGCAAATGACACATACTAACATCAAAGGCTTAACATAAGATTTTAAAGAGAATTCATGCTCCCAGCAGGGAGAGAGTTATTTTTTTAAATGCTGCTACTATGTATCTGTCAGAATCCCAGATTCAGATTGCTGAATATCTTTGAAATTTGCATCTTAAAAAAAGACCCTGTATCCTTCAGCAGATCTCAGCAATTCTGCAGCTTGAGCTTTGGCCTTCAGTTGCTCATATTTTGAGACGTTAATTTATTGCAAAGATCAGTCTAGGGATAGTAACACAGAGCACTCCACAGCACCAAAACACTGGCAAGTCTGTTCTATTGTGGCTACGGCAGCACCTATCCCTGAAGCAAATGAGTGGCTCTTTCCGCTGCTTTTGTAATTCCAGGATTTGCAGTTAAAGAAACATACACAGAAGGAAACCCCCCCACAAAAACCCAACCAAATGAAATCCCCACACACACTATTACATGCAAGTTTAAGTAAAAAACTCCTTAGAAGTACAGGGTATCACTGAAGATCCATTGGAGGTTTGCTGTTTTGACAATTGTGTGATTAAAAGCCCACAAAAAAAAAAAAAAAACTATGGAAAGACACCTGATGGCCTAAATGAGATTTGGATCAGCTGTAAGGGCATTTCTTTATGTACTGAGACTGTTATATATAACAGTAAATAAGTTACAATTACAACATCAAAGAAATGCCAATAATGAACACTTATTTTTGCTCTCAAGTACGAATACCTTTCTTATGAATAGTATCATTTAACAACTGGCTATATAATATCCATATGATAAATCAAAGCAAATTTTAAAAACAAATTACAGATGCAGCTGAACAAACTTTAAAAAATAAATAAAAAATTAGGTAAATATAAATATATATATATATATATATATTACAAAATTACATCTTCAATGAGATGCTGCCTGTACAGCAACCTGCACCATCAAAATCCTGAGCACCTGGCTCCCAAAACTGCTGGAGAGAGCGGAGTTCACGCTGCATTTTTCAAGCCCACACACACATCTTTTGCTTTCTACTGAGGAAGCTGGCAGTTTAGAGAGTCAGGCTATTCCTCACAAAGCTGCAGATTGCTGAAAAGCAAAAAGCATCTCGCACTGTGCACTGGGAACGTATGCCAATTATCACATCAAAAAGTACTTGCTAAAGTTGTTTGGATCCTCAACACAAAGGTTCGGGTGTCATTCAGGAAGAGTGTTACCTCAATTTAGTAGGTAACCTATGCTAAGCTAAACAACATAATCTGATTGCAAGGAATGCACTGGCTTTTAAGTCACTGTTTGTCTACGCTTTGAGTGCCTTTTTGAGGTCAGAGTAGAAATTGGCCAGGGTACTAGACATGGCAGTGTCTACTGCAGACTGTGGTAGCATCCCTCGCAGTTCAGTCTGGATGTAACCTGTCAAAAGACTTTGGCCAGGAGCGTCCTTGAGAGGGATGCAGAACCAACCACAAGGGTGATTGAATCCACGGACAAAGTTTGGTCTCGCCTCTCCATAGTCCAGGCTTATACCTATCAAGGAAAATAAAACAAACTAACAAAAACGGAAATTAATTTGAAAGAGGTTAAAAAAAAATTACTGTGCAGTAAATTTGAAATATGTAAGCTTCTGGTTGGGAAATTTAGTAGCAGTGATGGGCACACTATGAGTTCCTGGGTATTTTCATGCATGGAATTTGCTGTTCATCCAAATTCTGTGACAGACAGGAGACCATGATAAGCAAAAATTCAAATGTTAAAAGAGGACATTCCTCCCATTTAAAAGAAGCAAGTTGTTATTCATCCCACTTTGCTCTAGGACCTGAGCTGAAGGACTCAACTTGTTTCTAACAGTCCTGCCCCACAGCTGACATAAGTGAAACCTCGCAGAAAAGAATGGTTCATGGGTAAACGAGTAACTTGTACACTTCCTCAAATATGTAAAATGTTAAAACACCTTTAAATGTGTAAAAACACTTTAAATTTATTTGTTGAAGACCATCTTAGACCATTTTTGGAATGTTTACTACTACTAAATCTGAATCAAATCTTAAGCCAAGCAACTGTTGCAAAATAAGAATTTAGCAGAGGCACGTGGTGACTTACCACATGTTAGAAGCCCATCTTCATAGCTTGTAGTGTAAGAGAAATCAACAAACTCCCTTGGTGCTATGATGTTCCAGAGCTGGCCAGCAGTTGTATAGCGCATCACACAGCAGTTCTTATTGAGTGACAGAATTATAAGCGCAAAAAAAATAAATATATCTTAGTATACTGAATACAGGGAAACGTAATGCTTGCAGGCAGCTAACATCACAAAGGTCACAGCCTCTGTCAACTACACTGTAAATTCAGTGAGGCTGTGCCATTCTCAACCTAAAGCTGGAAGTTTTAAGGACTTGTGGTCTACAACAGAGAGTTGTGGAAACAGAATATCTGGCACCATAAAGATTTAAAAATCTAAAGTTAGAGAAACTTTGGCATGCCTGACAACTGAAAACCACATGGCTCTTATGTCACCAAAGAGCACTTGGGAGGTCAAAAAGGTCCATGAACAAACTTCAAGAGGCATCTCTTGGTACTAAGATACTCTATCAAATACTTTTCATCCACTAAGTGGAAAATAAAAAGGAATGTGAACAATTCTTCAAAACAGGCTTTCTTATAATACAGTAGAGTCTATATAAATATTAAATACTTTGTCATATAAATCTTCCTTCAGAGACAGAGCAAAAGACAATCTATGTTCAAGCCAGGTGCACAGATGAGGGTTTTGAGCTCATACTGAATGTCTGCATTAACCAAAGGAAGGCTACTAGTTGTTCTGTAACCAGCTTCAAACCTACCTTTCTTTTATCAAGTCCTGACCCTCAGAATTAACTATTTTGTGTCTCAGCACAAAGCCATGCTACACAAGTCAGCCCTTCAGGAAGAGGGGGAGGTTGCAGCTTTCATATGAGTGGACTAATACTATTGTTCGCTGTGGAATGGAAGAAAGCAAGCAGTATGAAATGGCTTTGGCATACAGTGTCACACTGTATGCAAATTTTATCAGAGGCTACCAAAGCTCCCAGGTCCAAGAGAATTGTGACTGACTCCTTTATTTTTAGCATTAATGGAAAGATGAACTTCAAGCTTCAGAACAGGACTGTGCTGCCAGAGAGCCTGATCTGTGGTCACACAGAGCATGTATGCACAATGCTGCTCATGCATACAAAAATGAAGCCTGAAAAAGGTTCATATCTCTTGGAATTGCTCTGCTCTACATGAGTGTTAAATTCATTAAATTTAAATTCATGTATTCACCAATACCCATTTCCCTCAAGAATCTAAATAAGTCTTCACCGCTTCAAATGTTTCCATGATGTCCATTGAAGTCATTAGGCTGTCCCAGTCTAGCCTGTAAGGTCCAGGGCGAATATGATCCACAATTCTGTTAGTAACATCTTCCACCACTCCTTGAGCTTTGTAGCTAGAAAAATGTGTTTACATTTAGTAAGAAATCCTTTATATTCCATTAATTTTCAACAGTACACTTACATTAACACCTTGGTACCAGGAAGTATGGTCGGTGGACAATTGCATCAGAGAAACAGTACAGGAAAACACCTACGGGTGCATCTACTCTTCTCTGCAAGAAATTTTCTTCTGAAAAAATTGTCCTTTTTTATACAATTAGTACTTTATAAATTACAAATTCCTTCCTTGTATAAAAATTATCCTGTTTATTTCTCTAGCAACTGTAACAACTTGTCATTTTATTCCTATTGCTTGGCTAGCAAGAGAGTTCACCAGAAGTAAGTAATCTTAAAGTAAAAAGATCAGGAATATAATGGGAAAAACATTTATTCATAAAGCAGAAGTAATAGTATATTGGAGATAGAAATGCTATGGTTTATAGCTTGAACAGTTTTATGAAGGACTTTTGCCTATTATAGCAAAACTGTATAACAAAAGCTGCACAGAAGCACCCTCAATGGCTGGGTAAATTGGACTGTAAATTGATTTGAGATAAGATAAAGTGACCCAGGTCTGGGCTGGGGGAGAAAAATACTTTCACAGGATTAAACCCAGCACCTTTGGGGTGGAGGCTACAGCCCCATGCTTATCGGCTGTCAGGCTGGAAGAGACCTTCACACCAACAGGGGGAGGAAGAGACGTTTTAGGTGTGTGGTGAAAGAGCCTCTGCTCACAGGCAGTGAAAGCCCATCCTCTGCTGTGCACACCAGCTCAGCTGTGGGGCTTCTTCACCCTGGCAAAGCCACATCTAAGGGACATCCACATGAGAGACAGCAGAGGGGCTGACATGGCTCATTAAAGGGCCCCCCAAAGGGGTCCCCAGACCCTGCACCAGAGCTGCACGTGATGCAAAATGATGTAACAGATCCAGAGTCATTCAAGGGACAGTGTCAAACTTGCCCCCCTCAGGGGAGGCACCTGGGCATTCCCACCTGCCCAAACCTATATTAATCCATGGGATTCTATACTTTTGTATGGGGGACACTCACCACCAAGACTAGATTGAGGGGAGCAGTGAGACATCATTGGGACACACAGAGGGATAACTTTTCTACTTAACCTACCTCTGTCACTCTCCCTGTCCCCCCAAACATACCTCCCTTTTTCTAATTCTTTCTTTCTTTCTTTTCTTTGCTTCTTTTACTACTAAATTAAATGTATCAATTTTTCAGATTCAACATCTAGCCTTGTCTGGTTTTAATCAAGTTTTGGGAAATATTCAAATGTTTTGGGGTACATTCTGCTAACTCACAGAGAGTTAGTTCTCTTTACTCCTCTGTGATTAGAGCAGATCATAACACAGGAGTAGAACCAAGCTAATGAGAATCTACATTATTATATTACATGCTTTAGTGGCATATGATTACCAAATAAAATAATTTGGTACATGACATTATAGAACATTATTTTTAATTAGATATTTTAGTTGACACCAGAGATTTTGTTTTCTTTAGTTACTGGGCCTCCAAATCCTGAAAGGAAATAATCCATCAAAAGATGTTCTTATTGATAGTAAATAATCAAGCAACAGATTCACCTCTTCACTTGTGCATACTCACATACTCACTCATAATCATCTGTATGGAGCCCATCTCAGCTGTATACTTGGAACAGGAAGACCACATGAACATGTCAGTGGCTTGCAGGTAGGTGTCTGCAAAGCTCTTCAAAGCATCCTTTAGTTCTCCAGGTGCTTAAACAACCCTGGGGTCTTCACCTGCACACAGCGGTCACTGCCCCCTGGCAATAGCTCAACTACAAAACCTACTGGTGCCAGCAGGCCCATGGAACCGTTGGTGCCTGGGACCATCAGCTCTCACAGATTCAACAGGACTCAAATTCCGTGAGGTGTATCAGTCTTTGAGATAATTTTAAACACTACCTTTGCACAGGACTTTTTGTTTCTTCAGAGTGCTGTTTTTTTAGTAACTATTTATCTACTTAAACCTACAGATACCAACAGAACCCAGTGACAGAAACTCACATAGGAAAGGCCTTCATGTCACACAAACAACCCCACAAAACCCTCTCACAACCCCACACTTGGTATTTTGAAATTGCACAGTCACTGCAAGAGTCCAAGGACTGACTGAGCTGTCACACAGTGACCCTTCAGGACTACTTAACCAGGCTTTATTCTGAGCTTTAAAAGGCATCATTTCTGGGCAGATGCTGTTGCCACTTCAGCCAATGGGAGTCCTGTGGTGTGTTCCACAGACTTCACCATTGTGCTACGGACCAAGAAATGCTAAAGTATCAAAATAAAAAACTAGAAAGGAATAGTACACAATAGGCTATTAACTTTAACTTCCCCTCTAGAGGATCTGTGTAGCTGAGGGCTGTAGAATTCACAGCCTTAATTTCTAAATTTCTAAATTCTACAGAACACATCTGGGAACATTAAAAATGTATCTCTTGTGCAGGCAAACTTACAGGTATCCACTGAATTCCTCTGATGGTTTACGCCACACAGTTGCATCTTTCTGAAAGAAAATATGAGACACAATGTTAATTGTCGCTTGGATACAATTGCAAGAAGTCCAGAAAATGCTTCAAATTCCTTGAATAAAAGCAGCCAACTTTATAATTAGCCATGGTTCACATGGGCACCACTGCACAATTTTCTTCAGATTTTTCTGATATCTTTTACATGTAATTTTCTATTATTAAAAAAAAAAAAATCAGAAAATTGGCTTTCTTAGAGTGAAATGCTAGAAGTCTGTGCAGAAGTAGGGTTTGGTAGGCCAAGTCAGTTTACTGTGAAAACACTTAGAATAATGGAACAACATTAACAAGGAAAGCCTTCCAGTTGCAAGGCCACTGGAAAGCCAACAGCCAGATGTTACTCAGACAGGAGGACCACAGTACTTCTGCTTGCACTCCTGAAACACAAGGTACAGAGGTGTGCATGAGGTGCAGGTGCAGACAAGAAAGTTCAAGTACCTTTCTCTCCTAGATACGTCTTGGAAGCAGTAGTCTATTTATTTTAAAGTTACGCAGAGAAACAGAGAAACCAGTATCTTCTGATTTTTATGTAACTATGACATGGAACCTCTGTACAACATGTCTGAATTCTGGTGTGGAAAAAAGTACCATATGGCACCACTTTATTTGGAATCATGATTATATAAGAACAAAGGATCAAATGTCCTAAAGAACAGTACTGTTAAGTACCACATCCAGAATAATTTAAGGTATTTTGGGGCACAACACATCTCCTTGTAGTAGATAAAGCTCTTAATTTCTTTTACATGACACAATATCAAAATGGAAAGAAGGAATAGAAGAAAGAAAGGAGAGAGGAAGGAAGGTCTGGAGAGAGGGGTAAAATCTGAGGATTTGGAACACAAGGATGCAGGTAACTTTTTAAAGGAATACAGTAGTACTTAATACAACAACACAGGAATAGACAATATTTAGTAGAGAAGTATAGGTGTATTGCAAGAGTGAAAGGCTTGGATGCTCCATTCCTCCCTCTCCAGACAGCAAATTTATTAATATTGCAAATAATCACGTTACATTTAGATCAGCTGCCTCTGTCTTATCAGTGTCTGCTCATGATGGAAGAAAAAATAAAAGCACTACTCAAACCACTGTAACAAAAAGACAAAGATAGAAATTTACCACACTAGTCTGCTATACTGCTACACTTCTGCTTTCTGTGGAGGACAGCACTAAAAATTATTCACCCAGCCTAGGATTGATGCACAAGCAAAGGCTATTTAGCTTGCAGAAGCTCAACTCAAAAATCCCACACAGCTCAAAAGATGGGAAACTGCTTGGAGGAAGCAGGAACTGTATTCCCTTTCAGGGAAGGAAACTTAGGACAAAGTGCGGTCTCTAAAGAACCACACAAAAATTAAACAGTATGAGAGGAAGCCCTGAGAATTATCTCATTTCTTAAGAAGGAAGGAATTATCTCATTTCTAAGAGAAAGACATTTGAAAGCTGAGGCACGATGAACTATCCATTGACAAGAGATTCCAGACGCCAGCAGGTTGTGTCTGCTTTGCTGAAAATACACGTCAGCCTCTTGCAACACTAATGCTAACTACTTCACATTTTGTTGTAAGTCAAGCCTATAATCCTACGCAGGTTCTTCCGTAAGATACACCCCTGCAAATGGGCAGAAGAAATGACAGAGTGTGCCTGAGAACAGGAAACACATATCCTGCCATCTAAAGATAGTCTAGAGGGATGGTTTCACAGAGTCTGTAAGTTTGCAGTCCTGCAAGGCGCGGCCAAGTGTTTCTCAGCCGTGTGGTACGGCACAGCGGGCTCTTTCCGCCGCACCGGCGACCCACAGCTTCCTGTGGAGCAGAACCGGGAAGCCGCCCAGAGCACTCACGGTTTTCTTTGCCACCCGCCACTCGCCGTCTCCGATGCTGTGGTACCGAACCAGCGTGTTCCGCAGCTTCGAGGCCAGGGGGGCGGGATTGGGCAGGGGATCCATTTGCTTCCCTCCTGCGCGGAGATGCCTGATCACACAGACACAGAGCAGAACAAGGCACGGAGTCAGAGATGTCAGCAACAGCGCGGATCTTCCAAACCCGAACAGAGGATGCGGAAAACACCGCCGCGCGCACCCACGCACATCTCCCAGCCGGGTTCGGGTGGCACAGAGCGGCTGCCAGGGGCTCAGGCCGAAGGTCAGGAGCTCAGGCCAAGGGTCGGGAGCTCAGGCCAAGGTGCAGCAGCCGCCAGCCTCGCCCCGGGATCCGCCGGGAAGGCGGGACAGGCGCGCTCCCCTCACAGCCGCAGCGGCCCCGGCTCCGCGCTCACCCGCACTCCACCCGACAGCGCGCGATGCCGGCAGCCAATCAGAGCGCGACCGCTCCGCCGGCGCAGCCAATGGTGGCGCGGTCCGCCGGGTGCGGGGGCGGGGGTGGCCGCTCCTTCGCATCACGCGACCTCGCGATATGTCGCGGTCATGACGTCATGAGCCAGGGGCGGAGCGGGAATGGCAAGGGGGGTGTGAGGGAGGGCGGGAGTGTGTGCCCCGGCTCCCCGGCCCCCCGGCCGGGGAGCGCCAGAGGTGCTCGGCTCAGGCGTGTCTGGCAGTGTCTCTTTTTACTGATCGTAGAGAGTCACAGAATCAGCTGAATTGAAAGGGACGCATCAGGATCATCGAGTCCCTACTCCTGTCCTGCACAGGACACTTCAAGAGTCACAGAATGCCCGAGAGCATTGTCCAAACGCTTCTTGCACTCGGTCACTGGTGCTGTGACCACTGCCCTGGGGAGTCTGTTCCAGTGCCAGCTACCCTCGGAGGCAAGAACCTTTACCTGATACCCAGCCTAAACCTCCCCTGACACAACTTCAGGCCATTGCCTTGGGTCCTGTCACTGCACACCCCAGAAAAGAGAGCAGGGTCTGCCCCTCCTCTTCCACTTCCAATGAGGAAGCTGCAGATTCCAATGGGGTCTCCCCTCAGTCTCCTCCAGGCTGAACAGACCAAGGGCCCTCAGCCACTCCTCACAAGGCTTCTCCTCAAGGCCCTTTACCATCTCTCTGTCCCTTCTTTGGACAGTCTCTAGTAGCTTTAGATCTTTTTTATATTGTGGTTTCCTAAATTGACCTGAGGACTTGACGTGAGACCACCCCAGCCCAGAGCAGGAAGGGGATTGTCCCAGAAGGGGACAATCCCCTTCCTTGCCCAGCTGGGGATGCTGGGCCTGATGCTCTCAGGACAGGGATGTCCCTCCTGGCTGCCAGGGCACTGCTGGCTCACGTTCAACTTGCCATGGACCAGGACCTCCAGGTCCCTCGCTGAGGTGCTGCTCTCCAGCCTCTCATTCCCCAGTCTTTCCATACAGCCAGGGTTGCCCCATCCCGTGTGCAGAGTCCAGCATGTTTCCTTGTTGAACTGCACACAGTTGGTGATTACCCTGCCCTTTGATTCATTGAGGTCTCTGCAGGGCCTCCTGCCTTTGAGGGAGTCAACAGCTCTTCCGTGTCTTGTATCATCTGCAAATTTGCTGAGTCTGTGTTCCAATCCTGCGTGCAGGTTGTTTATGAAGATGTTGAAGAGCACAGGACTGAGGATGGAGCCCTGCAGAACCCTGCTAGTGACAGGTCACCAGTTTGATGTCACCCCAGTCACTGTAACCCTTTCTGCCTGACTGGTGAGCCAGTTGCTCACTCATTATATGGCATGTTTATCCAGATGTTCAAAAGATCAATTACTTCTAAGTAGAATGGCCTTGTTAAGGTTTAGGACTCAATGTGCTTCATTGTCATAACTTAGGGAAGGTTCAGTGCTCAGACCTAGGGGGAGGTAGACAATGCCTAGAAGAATAATGTACTGTTGCAAAATGTGGAAGATGTAAACATTTTTTAAGAAGAGATATTCTTTAATGTATTTTCTTTTTATACATTCAACAACAAGAAAGATTCAATCCCTGAAACAGAAAGCAGCCAACAAGCTCTAAGTGATGTCCAGGTGTTAGAAAAACAAACTATTTTTTGGCAGAATTGCCTTATTAAGGTTTAAGTCTTGGCAGGCTTCCATGATCTCAGACCTAGGGGAGGTTTGCAAAGCTTGGGGAGAAGGATGTACCACTGATGGTGGACACAAAGAATGCAGAATTTACAAGCCACAAGGACATCTGGCAGAATCCTCAAGAAAAGGAAGAAACTAATAAAGGAACTCAGCAATTGTGCTGAATCAGGTATGACTGGGTAAAAAGGAATTCCAGCAGCGGGAGATGCAACCACTGACCCAAAAGTAGAGAAAGACTGAGCATGCAGACTAATTAACATAAAAAGGGAGGGACTCAACCTATAGAAGATAAGTTACTAATTAATAAGAGAAGTATGCAACTTGTAGCAAATGAACATTAATTCCTATTTTTGCTAAAATGTATAAATAGTAAAATGTTCTGGGAGTCATGATGCTGGCTTTGCGGATTTGCCACTAAGCCCCCATTGCTGCACAGGTCTGTTAATAAATCAAGTATCTCTGTTCTGTTCATGGATTGGCCTTCTGCACACCAGGTGCAAGAACATATTTGGGGACAATAGGGCTTCTTTACAGTGGCCATATAAAGGTTTACACAGGGCTGCAGCTTTCCAGAGTCCTGTGTATTTGCTGTTCAGCTGAAGCATGTCCTGTAAGTGCCAATGTGATGGGCAGGAGCAGTGAAGGAGGATTCCCTGGGTCAGCATCTCCAGGTGGCTGTTAGCTGTGGCTTTTGTCATAGCATCTGAAACAGAAAACAACGTTTGTCCAGCCGCAAAGGGCTTAAGGTGCTGCAGAGCATGGTGAGCGACACATTGAGGTGAGAACGCCTAAGACGTTCTTGGTCCAGTCAGCAGCGTTTGCAACACAACTCAGCAAGATGCTGAGGAAATTTTGAAGTTTCATTTTGCTCTGTAAAGCAGCAAGAAGACCAGATTCCTATCCTAGGAAACGGAAGTACCTATGGCCAGCCCACAGCTGAAGCAAACTTCAAAAGTGTGTGTAAGTGCTTGTTTCCTGCAGGCTTGCACTGTTCACTGGACATCATTCAGTCCAGCAAACATATTGGACAATGTCCATGTAAAAAGTGAAACCTCTTGTAAGGACAGGAAGATAAATTGGTTAAAAAGCAGATGATTAGAGTGGGAGGTCAACAGATCTTCCTTCTATGGTAATGTGTTGTTCATTTTAGCCAATACCCTCCTTGATTTGTTGCACATTTACAGAGGGGGTTTTGTGACTGAATGGGTGTTGGTGGCCATCTTGGCCATAGTGACCATTAAGTGATTGAGTTTAAAATCTCTCGACAGGAAGAAAAGAGCCTTAACCATGGATATGAGGAGAGCAGACTTCAGGAACTAGTAATGAGTTCTCTGAGAAAACATTTTAAAAGGTGCTGGAGTTCATCAGTGCTGGTCATTTTTTGAGCACAACCTCCTAAATGCACAGGAGATTCCAGAATACTGGAAGTCAAGCAAGTGAGGCAGAAGGCTGGCTTGGCTGAGCAGGGATTTTTTTGGAGCTAAAGTAAGAAAAATAACATGTATGGCCAGTGGAAGCAAGGTCAGGTACCATGGGAGAAAAATAGAGATGCTGCTGTGAGGGAGAAAATTAATGTAGCCAAAACTTGGCTGGAGTTGACACTGGCCAGAACTGTGGGGGGCAATGAAAAGAGCTTACTTAAGTCATTAATGGTGAAAGGCAGTGTTGAGGTAACATTGCACATCACAGACTAACTGTGGTCACCTCCTGAACAGTGACAGAGACAAGGCAGAGGTGTTTAATGCCGTCCTTGCCTCTGTCTCCAACACTGCTGATGGGCTGAGGGGGTCCGAGTGCCCTGAGCTGGAGGACCATGACTGTGAGAGTGACAAACTCCCAGCTGACCCTGAACCTGTGCAGGTTCCATTGCCCTAGCTGGATCCCTGCAAATCTATGTCTGAGAATACTCAAAGAGCTTCTGGTGTCATCATGAACCTCTCTCAATCATTTTTGAACATTCCTGGGAATCCATAGAAGTCTGAGTTGACTGGAAGCTGGTGAGCATTGTCCCAGTTTTCAAGAAGGGCAAGAAGGATGACCCAGTAAACTGCAGACCTGTCAACCTCCCTTCAGCACCTAGCGAAAATGTGGGGAAGTTTATTTTGCGAGTTACTGAAAACCACCTGAAGAACCTAATCAATGTACATATGTAAATGAGGACTGTCCCTCCATTAATACACAACTTCTTGCTGAGCTCTAAGATTTTTGTTGGTATAATTCAGGGCTAGCAGTGGTCACTGTCAAACTATTTACCTCTTCAGTGATAACCAAGGAGAAAGGGTCATGCACTAAATTTTTTGGCTAAATGGTTGTTGCTGTGAGATTTGGGAGCAATATATAATGGTAGCATTCCCTCACTTGAATGGCAAAAGAGATGGTAGGAAAATGTGAATAAACTGTTTGATTTTGCTTCAGAATATGTAATACATATCTCCAGCAAGGACAGAAGAAGGGAATATCTTAATTTGATCAAAACTGCTGGCATGTCTTCTTCAAAAGCAAATCTGAATTTAAGGACTTGGAAAAACTTGTATCTTCAGATTTTTTTGATAGAATAAAGATAATTTGTTCTTTAACTTCTGCTCTCCAGCCTCCCCACAGACTGCCTGGCAAATTTGGAGCATAATTTCAGGGCAGAAAAGGAGCAATATTGAAAATGGAATGTAGAGACTGTCCATAAATGCAGAGAAACAGAAGTTAGTGATTAATGTTCTCAGTTGCAAAAGCTTAATAAGATATAGAAATGTCCAGATATTTAGTATATATATTTAGTATATTTGTAGTATTTATGTCCAAATGTATTTATGTGTGTATTTATGTCATATTTATGCCAGGTTTCATTTGGGAGACTATTTCAGCCTTTATGTTTCAAGTGGTGTTTTTAAAGATAAGTTAAAAATCACAAAATGTGTTAACCCTGATATACCTATTTTTTTCCTGATTCTTGGAAACTGACTCAACTAAAAAGCCAGCTATTCTTTCAGCTTTTTCAATAGGAAAAAAAAAAAAAAAAGTCTTCTACATCTTTCATTCAAATTGAGGCACTCTTTCAATGGATGCAAATACCATCATACAGTGGTCTAATATGGCAGTTACAGTTTTTGATTTTTTTTTTGTTATTATTCAAACTGCTAATGAGTTGGCTGCAGAACAAATACGTAACAGCTTGATCTGGGTGAAATACTGTATCACTCTTCCCTTGTTTTCAAAACAGGAGCAGAACGTGACTCCTACCCACCAAAGTAATAAAATCAAAACGGATATTTTAGCTTTTACC